AGGGATAAAAATGGGGTTCAAGAGGAGGGGGGTTTGAAGGGGAGGTAATAAGAGGAAGTTGTGTATGTATACTGTATATTATATTTCCACGGAAAGCCTATAATGGGCCCACATAGTGCTACTAGTAGCTACTGTTAGGTCATAAATGCCGACTTCTGTACCAACAAGGTTTGTGATCAGAATTCTGAGATATATGCAACTTCTTTCTATCATCACGCTGGACCGAAAAGTTGGTAATATCTGAGTTAGGTAGCCGACCCAGCTCAACTTGGACCTGCAGGCAGGTTTCAACGGTGAGAAACTCAAATTAACATGTCATGTGTAATGTGATAATAAAATACACAAAAGAAATGTTGCTGACTAGTGTTTTAATTGCTTTCACGAGATAAGGTAAAGTTGTATCAGCGTTGCTGTTTCACTCAAACAAATAAGTAAATAAATTGTATACAGTAAAATGATGGTTATCACTATCCCTAATGGTAATTATTAAATACTATGAATTTTCATACTCTGCCAAATGAGAAGAAAATAAAAAAGTGAGTTGTTAAGTTCAAGAGATAACAGAAGAACAATCTTGAAAGTAAAATTAGATAAATCACACCCCTGTTCCATGCCCAATGAACGATGAACGAGGATGCACACGAGGATATGATTCCCATAATTTCGTCGAAATTTCATATAGGTATCCTCGCGGTGATCCTTGTGCGATCCTCGTGTGATCCTTGTGCGATCCTCGTGCGATCCTCGTGGGATCCTCGCGATGATCCCCATATACCCTGAACATACCCAAAACCCAGGTTTAAGGTGCTCTACTTGTAGCTAGTGGTCTCCTGAACTCGTATATGAAATTTCATCAAGATTGGACAAAAAATGATGAGGAGAAAACCCTCGCGAGAATGGAAATGTCCAATAATTTCATCGCGAGGAAATCATCCTCGTGGGAAATTGTGCACGGTGATGATTTACCCTCGCGAGGATGGGTATTTGCGCGAGGATTTTGAGGCAATATTCGACGAATTTATGGAAATCGTATCCTCGTGCCCATCCTCGTTCATCGTTCATTGGGCATGGAACAGGGGTGTAAGAGGATGTTACTAGGCATGATAGGCGTAGTTTACTACCTTTACCATTTATTACGTTCCGCCAGTCGATTTATTTAACTTATAAAATCGAATTGGCAGGCATTTATAGTTTTAAGAGAGAATATTTTATATGTAGAAATTAGAATATTACGAGACGGTTATAACTGATTGTATAAAGTGGATTTTACGAAGGGGAGATTATTTGACTGTGGATAAGATTGCAGTGTTCTGGATTATGTTTCATTTTTTAACAAAGATTCATCTCTCTGTACATAGCTTTAGATACAGATGAATGTAACATGTCCTATTGAGTGTGTGCCACGAATTGTTAACTTTGATGAGGTGATTCGACGGAAACAGAGGGAAAACAATCTAACAAAAACTCAAGCCTACAGATAGTGTATGTTTCCATGTATGGTATAATTAACAATACTGCTCCTACCCAAATACCGTCCGCACAATTGCGCTGCTATCTCGTTATATATATATATAATATATATCATTTGAAATGGTAGAATTAGCTCAACATACCGTCCACACAATTGCGCTGCTATCTCGGACATTTGAAATGGTAGAATTAGCTCAACATTCCTTCAGTACTTCTGAGAAGACAAATCAAGGGTAAGAATAACAAATCTAGAGTAAGGGCTAGATGAGAAAAGGAAAAGGATCTAGGGTGATGGTAGTAAAGTTATGGTAAGATCTATGAGTAGAGAATCTAGGGCAAAATTTTCAAATCAAGGGTAAAAGCTATGTGCAAAAGTAGGTGCAAAAGTAGCAAATCAAGGGTAAAGTTGGAGTGTAAAAGTAGCGAATCAAGGGTAAATTTGAGTGTAAAAGTAGCGAATCAAGGGTAAATTTGAGTGTAAAAGTAGCGAATCAAGGGTAAATTTGAGTGTAAGAGTCGAGATATGGTTTTAAAACCAGGAGGATCTACACGTCTGACTAATGATCCAATACTATTCCAAAAACGTGTCCACCCCGTACAAGTCACTACAAGGTCAGAGAGTGATTGGGCCAGTGGGCCGTGGTTAAAGTAAACAAAGACTTGCGGGCAAAAAGTAGAGATGAAACCATAGAATGATGAGTAAAAACTGGGTAAGAATCTGACAAATTAGGGGGTAATACGTGGACATAACGCCGGCAAATTGGAGACCTATAAGAGGCAAATGACCATTTGACGTGTACTCAACATTACACGTAATTTAATGACATCGACATTAGACGGATACCTACACAACAGATAAATCCATTGCTTAATGTGAACTTATAAACACGAGCCGGATGATTTATACCCGTCTGAATGGGTGTATTGTTTAAGATTATTGGATACTATATATTTACAATTTACAGAGCAACACTCAGAAAATTAGTCAAATTGGCGGATGAAAAACGATCAAAATTAAAGTAGGTGATTTACCGTGAAAAATGATTTGTCTAAGAAATTGTAATTGATATTTCAATTGAATATTGATTAAGAGATCAGAGTAGAGTAACCAAAATGCACAAAACAGCATTTCAGTAGCAATATATCAGTGCTCCAAAAAAATTGAATGAAAGACCAGTAATTATTAAATAGGATATTCGGACCTAGTATCGGATCTTTTCATATCGAGTGGTAGTAATACCTAAGGCCAGCTATACAAAAGTTCCGCTTTTAAGAATTTGTGCATTAATACAGGGTGGGCCAAAAGTCAGTACCCATACGTTGGGTCTTATACCTCCGCCGTCTTTTATATTTGAGAGTTGTTGCTTTTCAAATGGCATACTGTACCTACTTGTTCGAGGATTCCGTCGCCAAAATTTGAAAATTCGAATATTTTAGACCACGCCCATTCAATATTAAAACACCTATATTGTTCTCTCTGAACATGTTGGACGCCTAATTTTTTCTAAGACGGTAGATTATTATATTTTGCATCTGATCTGAAAAAATGATGTGAAACGGATTAGAAATAACGAAGTTATCAAGCGATTTTTGTATCTCGTTAGCAAAATTGATTGGATGTGACACGAAACCTTAATTGGGCAGCTTTAACGATTCCCATAATGTTTAACGGGGTAGTTAACGGGGTCACCTTGTCACGTGATTAGGTAAGCCAATCACCTGATCACACGTAATGAATAACCTTATTATGCTTCGTATCTCGGTCATCTGAGAAGATATAACTCTGATTTTTTTCAGGACAAACGTAATTCGAATGGCCAAACACAATTCATTAAATTTAGCTCGATTCGACTATCCAAATTATCAAATAAATGCGAAAATGAATCTTCATTCGAAAAAAATGAACACGAACATTTTTCGAGTTGACAAATTCCTCGAACCAGTGGTGGTACTAAGTTATACCAGAAAGAATTATTTCAATTGGGCACTCAGAGACTGAGCTGTGAAGGCCAACGTATGGGTACTGACTTTTGGCCCACCCTGTACTTGGCGGAGTTTTCAATTTTTTTCAGCCATCAGGCTCTGAAGTTTTCTCAAAGTTAGCCGTCATAAGTATAACCGAACCAAAACCTGACCAAAACCGAAAGTCAAGTAATAAAATAGTAGTCCGGCCAAAAAGATCAATATAGTACGTCATTCAAGTTCAGTATCCTATAAAGGATAATAATGACTTACCACTAAGGAGAAATTCGCGATAACCTCTACACACAAATTTGTGTAATCTGATATTAAAACTTCCGTTTTTAGTAGCAAGGTCAAAGTAGAAAAATGTAAACCTTCGATTTATCACCTTTTCGCTAAACCTATATATGGCTACATTATTAAAATCTTGTTGAGTACACATACTCAGCAGAGAATTCTTTACACTTTGCAAGAGAAAAATCTAAGAATTGCCCAAATAGAAAAACAACTATATAGCAGTATTAAAATGTAAACAGCTGCAATTTTCTATCCAAATTTATGATAAATTAGCAGCAGTTATGATGTTGACAGAAATAATTCCAGCCACAGGACGTTAGATAAAGTGCAGTGCTGTCACTCCTGGGGATCAGTACAATAATAATGGAACCAATGTCCCCAGCGAAATTATACAAGAGGGATTGGCATTGACAATAAAACAAATGCTAGCTTAAAGACACATTATGAAATTAACTTTAAACTTATTTAAATGAACGTATGAAACCTAATGACCTAGAGATAATATTAAGAAAATATATTAAAATTAAATTAAATCTGTGAAAGCAGACATATGAAACAGATAGCACAAAGTCGTCGTAATAAAACAAATAACTGATCCTAGAATAGCAAAGTCATCAAACGCTCACCCATCCAATGTACGCAGATTTCAAGATAAATGTATTGCAGATTTCAGTTGATCTCATTCACTTATGCTGCCATTCATCACTAATTGATACATCCTGAGCTAGGGAATAATTTGTTAAAACATTGAAAGTGTCGCCTTAGAGTCAGTTTCATGAAAATTCTACAGAATCATATTCACATAGAGAAGGATGATGCCACCTCAGTGGCAATGTTAGTGGTTAAAAAAAACAAAACATTTTACATGCCATAAAACAAATTATAACTGCTAAATTGATTTTTCGTAGGTTTTGAATTTGTTTTGGAGTTTGGACACATAAACGACGCAAAGAAATTTAAAATTGAACATAAATTAGAATATTGGGGAAGTTTTACAGAGAATAAATGTAAAAATAGACAGAAAAGTCCAGTAGATGTCTTCACACAAATATTAAATTAAACTATACTGCATTTGATAAGGAACCCATAAGGAATTACAAGGGCTAGAGATGACATGCTTGGTCTACTGGAAATAGTATAAAGACTATTTTCCAGTAAATCTTAATTTGAGAGCAAGCATCATGAAAGTATCAAGATAATTGGTTTTAAATTATAAAATTTGTGTGGAGCTTCATCAACAAAATTGGGGGTCAATAAATAGGGATAAAAGTTTACAAGGCGCCGTGCTTGTACTGCTGTTTAAAAAGTAGGAGTGTATTTCTCTGCTCTTCAGGCAGACTCTGTATCTGCTCATCGCTCAGCATCATCACCTGCCGGATCAGATCCTCCTTTTCAGCAGACGGTTGCATGTTGAGGACTGCAGAAGGAGAAGCCTGGGGTGGTGCAGGGGGTGTTGGTCGGGGGTTGGAGGGTGCCCGCTGCTGCTGACGAAGTGGTGGAGCAGGTTGGGGAGGAGGAGCTGCCGGACCACCAAACCCTGGAACCATGTTACGTCTCTCCGGTGGAGGATGGGATCGAGGTGGTTGGGAGTGGAAATCGTTGCCCCAGTTGTTGGGTTGGGGTGGTGGGGGTGTTGGCTGGTGCTGAATTGGGGCGGGTGGGGGTGGACGGGAGGGCTGACCCGTACCAGGGGTTTTATGGGGAAGTGGCTTTGGCCTCACACCGTGCAGAATACTTTGTGCTATTGAGGGATCGAGGACTCTCATGACGACTAGGGCTTGCAGTAGAGCATAGGCTAGCTGTGAATTCTGAAGTAACAGTTTCTTGGCTTCATCTGGGTTACCGAGAATACATTTCTTCATCTGTGTCATCAGCTCGAACATCTGTTCAGGGGGTAGACTTGCCACTGCCTGGGAGATGGCCTCAGGAGCGTTATCAGGGGGGCAAGGAGCTCCATATGGGGATACCTCAGGAACAACTTTTCCAGTAGGACCCAGACTCTTGATCTCCTCAGACTTGTCACTGGTTGCTGTGTCAACACGCAGTGAACGTCCGTTCAGCTCATACCCAGATAAATTCCTCATTGCACTCTTTGCCGTCTCTTGGTCCTGGTATTCACAGAAACCATATCCCTTTGGTTTGCCTGTGTCTCTGTCATACACTAATCTGAAGCTTAGAACGGGACCTACCTGGGCGAAGATGTCTTTTAAACTCTCCTCAGTGGTCTCATATGGAATGTTTCCGACAAAGACAGATCGCAGCGACTTTTCGTTAGCTTCACGCTGTTGCTCGATCACAATTTGAGACATTTTGCATAGGCTACAGGATAATTTTATTAGAAAGCAATGAAACGACATTTTGATTGAGAATAAAATTAAGATACATGACAATTTTCGCAAAGTGAACTTTTTTTCTTGGAGTAGAGCATCATAGTTTGGCTGGTGATTCTTCAGTTTGTCGTCGAAATCCTACAAAGTACACGCATACTACCTGATTGGAGATAGACCTAACTCTAAATTGGAGCCCTAAAGAAAGTTTTAAAAAAATATAATGTTTCATTTGAATTGTTCACGTTTCAGAACGACCAACGATCCAATTCAAACTCTAGGCGATAGAACATAAAATTTTGGCAATCGTAGAGTATGCATGCAATAGAGTTATAGATAGGCGCTGACATTCAACCAGTTATATAGCATCGGCCAATAATTGATGAAGTTAAAATGCATCCCAACAAATCACTAACTCGATTATTTTGATCAGACAGTTGAGATCTCTAGCCATCAGATTAGATAAGTTAGCCAAATAAAAAGGAAACACTGCAGAATGGCTTAAATTACCTCTCCTAACATTTTACATTCCCAACATCTAGGTATCAAATTCTATGGAAGGGAAGTTGATTTGAAACCACTTTTTCAGGACAAGGAAAACATAAACTTTAGAGGAATAGGGTTAAACGTTTAGCGACCCACCCAATAATTAATTTTGGTAGAAACATTCAATTTGGAAACTCAGTTAAACGCTGATTTGTGAGGGAAACACTTCAAATTTATCTAATAACCAGATAATAAGATAAGATAATTTATCATACTAATCACAGTAGCTTGTTTAAGTGGGACATGTTGTGAATTCAGTTCAGTGCTGAACTTAAAGGGGTGCTTTAGAGCAGTGGGAACATGTTCAGGTCATCCTAACCCTTACTCTGTAGCACCAAATAGGGGGGGCCGGGGGGGGGGGGGGGGGGGGTTTTCTTCTTTTTAAAAACAAAACAAACAAACTTCCAGCCCCAAACGGAACATCGTTAAAAAACTTACTCATTTCGAAGTTCAAACATCACACGTTTATAGCCAACAGGAAGAAACCGAACCCCAGAATACTTATTGCTTATTTCGACCTCCCGTTCACTTTGAACCAGACGGAACCATTGAACCTTGAGTGTGAACCAAGGATTCGGTAGAGGCATTTGCATTAGTAAGGTGTTAAGCCCCAACAATTTGAGTAATGCACATTTGTCTACTGTCTACGCAGTCTCTAGCTGGAAAAGTCTTCTTTGTTCGAGCTCAGATGCAAGGTGCACTGAGAGTGCATAGAAGGAACTGCAAATACAACAAAAACCAAAATTACAGATCCAGGAAAGATTACAAGGACACGTCACCCGATCTAGGACCGGATAACAAAGGACCCGACGGTGATTTGACCAAACTAGGCGTGGTCGCAACTCGCAACAAGATATCATGTCAAAATAAGTATTCTGTGTTACAGACAGAACTGTGAATCTGAAAAACAAATAACAAGTTTCTCTCTTGCCTACAAATAATATTGGGTGAGATCGAGAAGCAGTTGGAACATACAGCTGCGAAAGTTCGTTAAGTTACCACGGTAACACTACTTCCAATCAATCAAGCTCAAGCAACCATATTAGTACAAAATAATTATGTGTGTGGATCGCTGTGTGTAATACTCAGCCAAAAGCACTAAAAAGGTGACGTAAATGAGTGTATCAGGACCACAGTTCGCTTTATGGTGAGCTTCACTGCAATTCTAGTTCCTTAATTCTCGACCCAGAGGAGGGAAAATCGGATTGCAGATTCCAAAGAAACGAGCATTTCTGCTTTGCAAATAGCAGAGCAAAAACGGGAGATGTACATTAGATGTCAAAACAGCGAAGAATACAGCAAAATGTATACCTCATTTTACCAAATTAGGATGGTTGTGAGTCTAATTAGTTTTGTGACGTCACACGCGAAATTGGGAGACGAAATCCCGGAGGGCCACGCCTCTTCACGGTGAACAGAACCATGGGGACAGAAAAGGTAAAGCAAATATCCGACACAAAACACTCAGTTGGTCTACAAATTAAACAAAGAACAATCACATACAAATTCGTAGCTCAAGAAGTGAGTGTAACTGTGTGTGTGTACTACATGTGACGTATGTGGTGATTGGCATGTAATTAGCAATTAGACACCCATCACGACCCCTTATCAACTCCTGAAACAGCTTTCGTCCATCTAAACAACGGCGATTTTTGGAAACAAAGCAAAAAGGTAAAATTCAATATGGCGGACACAAGAGGAGTCAAGTGATACGGAACTGGTTGTACCTGATGCACCGACACCAGTATTAAATATGCACGTTTCATCATCATGCCATTTTAGGGAGGGATCATGTCTCTACAAATAAGAACGCGTCAATCAAGTTCCCTCGAAAAAACGGGACCTTGAAACAATGGGAAAACATATACACAACAAATGATGCAGTATTACGGGCAACATTTATTGCAGACAGTAATTAAGGATACAGAATATGCAGATAGAGCTATGCGTGTGAGCCTCAAGTTTGGTACTAAAACTCGTTAGAATCCAGACTTTCGGGTTCATTTTAGCGGCTAGAAAGGAAACTTGGACTAAGAGGGGCTCAATTTTGCTACAGTCAATCATGACGTCACTAAAATTGGCATATATGACTTGCTAGTGGCAGACAAATGGCTGCTACGGTGTAATAAGGCAGGGCTTGCTTATGTGGCTTTGTGTGTAGAGTACTGATCTTAAAGTGAGCAGTTGCTTTTCTTGACGAATCCTACACGTAACATTGGGTTCGAAATGTATATTGTTCACAAATCTGATGATTAATGATTATAATATGCTGCATTTACAGGTAACAATCAGTGCAGCTTGTACAATCACGAGAGTGGTGTGCTGACATTTATTAGGTAAGGAAGCGGGTATGTAATGAAAGCGAAGAACAACGGTGCCGAGAAATACTGTTCTGTTTCAAAACAAAGTGATGAACCTGGCCTCGGGTGCTTGGAGAGTAAAGCCATAAAAGTCCTTTTCATAGAGTTATACGGATACCCATGGAAAGACGCTCACAAGAGCGACGAATATGAGATTTGTCCGAGAAGCACGTGGAAAGAACGCTGCGCGCGACTGAAACTGGAAACGGAGCTCTTGGACGCTTTATTTTTTACGTGTCTAGACTCAGCCAGTTCGCTCTACAGTATTGCTCTCTCAGAGCAATAATTTAGTTCATATTCTGTATTCATAATAAATCTGGTTGCTGAATTTTTCAAAAGATCAAGCAAGACGTTCAAGGTCCATGGATGCTGGAGTTGGAAAGTGACACTGGAAGTGGAAGCCGCCTATCAACAATCAATATCAGCCATCAGGTATATATCTTCAACTTCAAATTCACATCGAAAATCTTATAGTTACTCGGCCGGAAAGGAAAGACCAAGCTTTGGTAATTTACCAACGTCCAACATTCATCATTATCATCAGCTCTCAGAACTCATGTCAGGTATCCACAGAAGTGTTTTTGATTATATATCGCAGTCCCTGGTACTGGTAGTAGTAGTACTAGTGAGTAGTAACCTGATTGCTGTTCCAATCCTTGTAGTTGTGCTTCATATTTACAGTTCTAACACTAACAGAATGATATCTTATTTTCGAAGATGAGCTGAAACTGGAAAATTTAAAAATACTATTGATACGCCGATTGCCAAGGAATAGTATTAGTACTACTACTAGTATTTTCTATGAATTTCTATGATTATGAATCGATTTGTTTTTATTTTCTGCCTTATATGAATCTTCATATGCAACCCTTTACAATTACGGATAGTGATACTCACAACTCATTTTGACGCTCATAGTCATACTTCGTCTTGTTTTTGTAAAACTAAAATTTCAATATGTAAACTACTTTTTATTTTTTAGACCAATCGCGTGTCTCCTAATCGTATTTATTGTTAGAATCGAAACAGAGCCTTGGGATCGAAAGTAAAACGGCACGCAACTTTTTCATCGAGATTCGTTCCAAAAGCAAAATGTATGATGTTATCTGTTAAAAGTCGGTGACTGTAAGGACGATGTTTTAATAAGAACCAAATTTCAAACATTAATCCGGCAATACAGTTGACGAGACTAAATTTTTTCTTTTTCAGATGTGTAACTCATAGTCATAATATTTTGCGTGATTCAACACAACTGGGCCCAGTTAATTCTTCGATCAATACTTAAAATGCAACGTGCATATTTTGAATTTCTTTACCAACGTTACCAATAAAATCGGGGTGCTACTGTTTCGCATCCAACAATTTCACCGATGCAGGGGGAACAGAATATATTGGTAATTTTTGATCTGCTGAATAATTATACACCTCATTTTAATGTCTCAGGTCTCTGTTTCAATCTCAGCAATAATAGTAGTAAGGTTGAAGATGAAATAATTGATTAATTACTTAAAATTATTGATTCTACATGTACATAAGGACGATGGTTTTTTGCTCGAAGTTAAGTTGAGACTTTGGTTATCTATAGACATTAGACATTTTTTTCACAGAAGGATTAAAAAGCTCTTTTCTTTTATCAATGATAATTTTAAACAGAAAAAAACAGTGCAACCACGAATAAATATAATATGATAAACAATCATAACACAGAAGCGACAACTAAAATGAACCGAAAATGTTAGAACTGGTCAGCAACCCAAAAAGTTAACAGAGATGAGAGAATGAGATGATAAAATACAATCCAGTGTTAGTGTTACTGTTAAATCATAAAAATAAGCTTTAAATTTGTAATAATGATTCAATTTGAGTTTAAAAATTATTTGGAGGATGTTCTGATGTCCAAATCAGTTTATACTGAAAATTTGATTTTCGACATACAAATTAACAGAACATGCCAAAATGGTCGCAATGGTCTGTACGCTGTTATATTCCACACACTAAAAATATATTCACAACTCCAATACAAATGAAAAATTAGATAATTTAAATATTAATAGCCCGCTCTACGATTAAAACCTCCTCTGCCACCGATACCACCCCTCCTGAAACCACCTCTTCCACCTCTGAAACCACCTGGTCCATTATTAAAGCTACCAGGTCTTGAGGGCAGTCCTGGTCGTTTAGGTAGTCCTCGTCCACCTCTGCCTCGGAATTGGTCGCCTCCCTCTCTGAACTGACTCTCCCGGGGGCCACCTCGCGGACCACCACGAGAAGATGGTGATTGATCCTCCTCGCCGGGTTTGGGCCCCCCATAATATTCTGGCGCTCTTCTGGAACAAAAGTATAGGGTTAATGTAGTCTGAGAATACATTGACTATCAATCCACTATTAATCAAAAACACACATGATACACGGCTATTATGTACGGTATAAACTGTTAGTCAAATAATCGGGTGTCTGAGCAAATCTAAACGATCACGCACGATGTAAAAGTTTCTAGTGGAATGGAAATAGTAACCCTTACATGGTATCTTGGAAGAATTTCCCTGCTCTTGGATCTGACAACGCATAAACTGCTTCAAGAATGTCTGAGTCAGTTCCCTGATTGAATAAAATAACAGTTTAGAGCAAACATAAAATCGTAGACAAAATGAAAACCTTAGATTCCAAATTTAAAAAGAATACAAACGATCTGAAGTTCTCAACTAACAGTAGGACAAGCAGCCATCTGTGGATCTGTAGCGACTCTCATGAGCAAGTTCTCCAGGGCCTTCCTGAGCCCACACAGGAGTGCTGCGCTCTGTCCTGGCATGTCCAGAGGTATCCTGAGATAGAATGTGATATCAGGCATGAGGGCTAAGGCTCCATTTCAATAAAAACTAATTTCATCAGATATATAAATAGCTTTTAAATCCAACTAATTTTTGACATTGTATTGATATTATATTCGTATTTTCAGCCATGATATTTAATACTTGGTGATCGCAATGTGTACGATGTATGTATATTGTACTATATTGTAAATATAGGAGAATATTCCTAATCAGGTTGGAAGAAGGAGTATTTCGGGATGATGTTGTTTAATAATTCGTAGCTTTATTTATTTAAGTTTTAAACAAATATTTATAAAAACGGTAACCCTAAAATAAATATAACAACAACACTCAACAGCTGTTAGCCTAGACGAACCATTCATCTATCGAGACGTGGTCAGCATGACAGATCACCGAGCTGCTTCCAAACAGGATGAGATGTAGAGGAGACACCATGGTTGTGGTTTTAGCGGCGATAACCTTTGTCTTTATTTTCTCTCCATACGCGAAGTAAGGTGAAGGGAAGATGTAATTACCGTTGGTACAGTTTACCGAGCTCTTGTGCATGAGAGCTTGCTGAGTTTCTGAAACCCACAACTTTCTGCAGAATATGTGGATTAGATCATACTAAATAGTTGAATATTTAACAATCGGTCATTTCGTGTTACATGGTTACTAAACAATTGAAAGTCTCTGTATTCTTTTTAGCGAAATATTTACAAACCTCTTCTCGTGATGTATGCAGATATTAGGATAAAGTCCTGCAGCCAACATAGCCGTCATGATATCAAGGTTCCTGTCTCTCCCATCTACACTGAACTCAACTGGAGCTAGACACTCCTCAGGGAGGCCCATCTTCAGGACCAGGTTCATAAGTTGGTTCTTGGCGGAGTGGATCATTTGAAGCGTCATACTCGACATCTGATTCTGATCACAATACCTAAAACAGTTTATAATCATTTGATTTCAGCCTTTTGCATTTTAAAATCTCAAGGGCGTCCCGCGTCTCTATTCCCGCCAAATAAGAGCAGAATCAAGCAGCATGAAAAATGGAAAGGTGTTGGTGGACCCTACCTCTGTTCTCTCTCCTTGTCCTCTTCAGCAGCGACCCGTTCCCACTGGGTATAGGCATTCAGCATGGCAATGTGGTCACTGTGCTTGTTCCCGCTTAGTTTCTTGTGATGCCAACTCATCCTCCTGCAAAACAAGGTCGTCATGGTAACTAATTGTAACCAACTCCAAGTGAGTTCATAATCCCCGGGTAGATTAGACGAAAATACTAAAATTAGTGCAAGTGGCATAAAGTGCTGTGGATGACACTTCACACTGGCCGCACACAAATGTTAGTTATCATGTTCAATTGTTTAAATTGGTACATGACCAATAACACATATGACATATCTTAAGAATTTCTAAGGAAATTTAACGAAAATTAAATTTTGTTATAAATTCATATCTTCAAAATTGAAACTTTTCCAATCTGAATTTGAAGTGGATCTAAACCTGGTATCCTGTTGTATCCATGGCTCTCTGAAGCAGGAGGCAGCCGCCATGGTTATCATTGGATCTCCACAGCGGAATAAGCAGGAGAGAAGGATGGTTTGCGAAAGCCTGGGCTCGAGAGGCAACATTGCGAGACAGTGACCCATCGGGGTAATGTCACCCTGCCTGCTAAGAGCTCCCTGGTATGTTGGAATTACTTAAACTTATATCAGTATCAAGGCTTGTGAAATAGGTATTAACAAAATATCTAAAAGTGATCAGAGTTTCGGTCTTAATATCAATAGCAAAATCTTACTCCTTATAATGCACCGTGAGGACTCAAGTCACTGATTTATGTATATTATATGTGTGTGTGTGTGTGTGTGTGTCTGCATTCAGCTTTATGGAGGGCACGAAATGGAGCATTCAAGCCCGGCCCGGGTGGTTTGTCTTAAAACAGACTTAAAGTTTCAAAGCAGGACAAATAGTTCGTATGACGGTTATACGATTAGTGATTATAATTTAAACAAACCATTTCGTGAAGAACTGTGATAGCATTCGCAACGTAAGATTTAGGTGGAGCCTCAAGTGCACTACCAAGGAAATCCTCAACATTCCCCAGATTCAAAGCTTTGATGGTGAGTGCTAGAGAGTGCAGTGCAGTGCGCTGGATCTCGGGGCTGATATGGTGAGGCATAGCCTCGTACCTTGCCCTACTGCACAAATGGAAACAAACACCTGGTCTCACTCGACCTGCTCGCCCAGCTCTCTGCTCCAGGTTCGTCTGACTCGCCCACAACATCCTGTAGTCTGCCAAATTCCTCTTGATGAAAAATTCTTTGATTTTCGCCTTACAAAGGTCGATAACGTAGATACAGTCGTTGATAGTGATACTTGTTTCGGCAATGTTGGTAGCTAGGATGACTTTAGTGAATCCTTCGGGAGCAGGAACGAATACCCTTTTCTGTTCGTCTTTTGGGATTTGGCTGTGGAGGGGTAACAACCAGTAATCTGCTCCTCCTGAATGAATTAACAAATTAAAATACAAACAGATTGGAACAATGTAAAGCTACTATTAAAAGCTAGTTTCTGCAGAATATTCGGGATGAATGTAGTGAAGAGGATCGGTGATAGCATCAAAGCTTAAAACAATTAACAAACCATAGATTGGGTGTTGTTGAAGGTACTTCTGAAGAGCAAATATGTGGTTCCAACCGGGAAGAAATACCAACACAGAACCATGTTCAGGCTGTTCTCTGATCCAATCTAGAATCTTCTCTACCAGCTCAAAACTGAACTCTCTCTCTGACATCTTAGCCATGGCTTGAGCAGTGCTGGCTTTGTATTGCGTCCTGAGACCAAACAGTATTAAGTATAAGTTTTTGTTAAGTACCACACTGACATTTTTGTTCATGTATTTTTTGAACGAGAAAAGGTGGTTGTCAAATACTCACGTGTCGCATAGGAGGTTACAATTCTCTTCTGTGTCACGTTGTTTACATTCCTCAGTCTCATCGTCACTATCTATACAGTAATCATCTCCTGCGAACACAAATCTGGTTACGGTAAATGAACAGATGCGATCTGAGAATCAATAAACCACTCAACCATCATGTCTCATATTATGATGAGGTTTCAAGATATCAGGCTCGATACACAATCAACAGGAACAGGTTAATGGTCAGCGATCACGGACAATTGTATCGAGGCCAAGAGGCAAGAAGTATACTATGTCAACAATTACACTGATCGGGGTTTACCAAGAGGTAAGAAATACACTTTTCCTTTAAATTTTACCCATGTTACTACAGGGGTACACCGCAACTTATACGTACAATGTACCCCTGGCCATGGCCTGGCCCTTGCTCCTTGATCCTTCAACCCCGGGAAAATACAAAATGTGCCAGTTACTATGTGTAATGGGCATTTTAGGAAGTAAAACATTTCATTACCAGCCAGAGGATTCTTCTTGCTGTTTTTGCTCTTTTTTCTGGGTGGAGGTGGTACAAAGTCCACCATCTCGATTGTATCCTCAAGAAAGTAACGATCTACAGTGAAAGTTCGCTCTGGAACCTCAATTACGGGACACTTGAAGTACTTGCTGAAGAGATCCACATCAACAGTAGCCGACATCAGAACGACCTGTGAAGTAAATTCAATCAATTCATTTGCATTCGGAGCAGTATCGCCGGAATGATTCAGGCGGGAACTTAGAATCTTCCCGCGCTTGTAATAAATTCGCAGCTGGGTCGTCTTACTGATGTACTCGCACGATGAAGCCGTTACAGCCTATAAACATTTGATGCCAGATACATTGTTTAATGGGTCAATCAACGGCCGTTACTGACAGCATATTTGCAAGGACACGTTGCTTTACAAGCTTCCTGAAGATGGTCGGCATGAGATCGATTTCACTATACATAATTTTGCATGCCGCGCGTGACTGGCGCGCTAATCGATAATTTGCGCTGCAAAAGTAAGAAAACTATCAGTGCGTCTTACGTTGTGCGGGTTGACAGTGTAACCGTCAGTGTGCCCGTGTTAATCCAGTGGGGCAAACAAATTTGCAATACGGTATGAAAACTGTGCCATGTGCTGATTTGGATCATGGATGTTGCGATATACATCCATCGCGTCAATTTGTATAAATCTGAACTACAGGAAGATTGGCCCACGCTAACTGTAAGCAAAAAGTTATCAAACAATCATATATACAGTGGGGTTTCTCAGCTGATTAAAATAAATACTGTTAGAGTTGTTAATCTTCAGCCAGAGATATCATAAGTTTACCATGCTAAGTTGGATATTGTGAACACTTTCCTATTCCTCAATTTTTAGTGGTGTCATAGATATTACATCGCCACAAAATTTACTACAGATACGCTAAAGGGTCTGGGCCTTGTACTAGACAAATTCTCCAGACTTGTGATTACACTCACTGCTAACAATATCACGTGACGTGCACGCAAACTCGCGCGCTATAATGCGCGCATTCAGAAGTGACGAAAACATATGTCACCCCACTGTATATATTATCGTTAAACAAATCATATCACGTCAACTGACAGACACAACAGGTTATATTCGCGTACCTTCAGTTGTTTGTGAATCTTCAACATGTCCCTGAGAATTATGAGCAAGAAATCAGTGTTAACATCTCGTTCGTGAATCTCGTCCACCACAACGTGAGATATGCCGTGTAGGCCATTGTTCAACTTTCTCAGCAAGGTGCCTGGCAGTGACAGCATCAAATTAAAACTAGCACATTCCGAAGAGGCATAGTCACGAATATTCAGAATCATTTACTGATACGCTTGGATGTGCGCCAGATTTTCAATAGACAAATCATTTGATATCCACGTCGAATATAAGTAATGGGTACCTGTGGTGCAATACAGGATGCTGGCGTATGGTCGGGGCAGTTGGGAATCAAATCTGACACTATAACCTACACTTTCTGACACATCCTCAAATCTCTCCCACGCTACCCGCTCAGCAATACTTATGGCACTGATTCGTCTCGGCTGTAATGGAGTTAATAGATAAGGCTTATTATGGCGAGGTGGAATATCAGACAAGAGACATTGATAAAGCTAATTAAATGTATGTAAGGTCAATGCAGTTCGATATAAATTAATAGGAAGTTTAACAAAGTCTTGCACTCTATGAACAGTTATCATATTCTCAAATTACATGACAACACCAGGTCAAATTCCTCGCACATACCTGGGTTATGACAATGTTACATACCTGGGTTATGCACATACCTGGGTTATGACAATGTTACAATCCGCACCTCGTCCCTCCTTGATGTAACTATCCAGGATGAACTGCGGAACTTGGGTTGATTTACCGCAGCCTGTTCCGCCTCGTATCAAGACACAACGGCTACTGTCGATCAGTTCTAGGACTTTTCCAGCGAAGTTGTTTACTGGAAGCTGGTGTCTACCCTCCAACCTCTGGAAAAACATATGGTCAGTAAATCAGTGGAGGCTCGAGGAGCCGAGGAGGTTCCAAGTGCCTGAGGTCACTGCTTATTGTTGGCTTTGAGAGCGACCTGTGCTTGAAATCATCTCAACCATCCACTATCGTCAATATACGAATATAAGAAATATAAAAATATAACAATCTAATAATATAAGAATATAACAAGAATTTAAAAAATATAAAAATACATTAACAGGAAATTTGTATCCTTAAGAACTTCTATGTGTTATTTGAGGACACATGAGAGCCCAGAAGAGTTCAAGCTTAAGTTCAAATTTAAGTTCAAGTAGTGTATCATGTTTCTTTTCCAATAGAGCTGAGAGATTTGTTGGAATGCATAACTGCACCGTACCGGATGTAGAATGTAAAATACAATATAATATGGTTACCATGTAGTTGGGTCACCCTGACTAGCAATCTAGAGAGCTACTACTACTACTACTATTACTACTACTACTACTACTACTACTACTACTACTACTACTACTACTACTACTACTACTACTACTACTACTACTACTACTACTACTACTACTACTACTACTACTACTACTACTACTACTACTACTACTACTACTACTACTACTACTACTTTGTACAAACCTTTTTAAACTCATCGTGTTCCAGTTTTCCCGACCTCTCTTCCAACAGAGCACTGTTGATGTGGTCTGGGTTCCACATTGGACCTGCTTCCTCTACATCGTTAGTTCGACTTAGCCATGGGTCATAGGCTAGGGAGGGCGGCGACCACTCTATCACTCTACCTTCTGTTGGGAATAAACGTCAATTTAGTGATTATTATTGTATTACGCCACATTACCTGTTTAGTTATTCCATCTGAAATTTCACTCAACCAATTACTGAATTTAAACAGAATTTTCAATTACGAAAAAATCGTTTCGTTTCACTATAAACTTCCCCAAGATTCCATCGAACAGAAGAATGAGATGTTCTGATCACGTACCTGTCTCAACCTCAGTTTCTTGTTGTCCGATATTCTGGTGATCAGGAAGCAGTAGGGGCAGTGGTTCCTCCACCACGTCTGGCACAACCACTGCCTCAATGTTACACTCGTGTAACAGTGCCGTTATCTTCTCACCCATCTCACCAGATATGTTACACGGTGAGGGTTTGATCGTGGCTTTAGTACGCTTTGCGCTCATCTGAAACAGTAGTGGCTTTTTAGTTTCTACTCATCTACAAGATTCCAAGATGAAATCAGAAGTTTATCGTAGTATGCCTTTTTCTCATTGCATTAGTTTTTGGAATAAGGCCAAAATACAGAACACTGCTTCCTTATTGTAACACTGAATGGGCTGTATTGAAGTAAATAACCTCATCATTCGATGGTGAATTGATTGATGATGAGGTGAGCATCATTTATCTAGATGATAATTATTTATAACAGTTCGTTATAAAAGCGTATTGTGAATATTAGGAGGGTTAAATACAGGGTGGTCCAGAAGTAACTACCCACACAACGTAATTCCTGTCAGAATTGCACGAAAATTTCAGAGATAATAAATATAGGTATTTAGACTTCGTTTCGGGATAATTATAGTGAATTGAAAAGTCAAGTTTTTATCATTAGAACTTATCTGTTTCGTTTGAGGAGAACAATCTTGAAAATAGGCTGTTTCTAAGCATTAGCCCTTTCTGTTACACACCAATACCAGTTTGCAGACATATCAGTTAGAAAACGGGTTCTTTTGATGACAGAACAGATATTATGTAGGTTCAAGGGTGGAACATTTTTAGTGATAAAAAGATAACCCCACGGATAAGAAATCTGTGTAAGTGAAAGTAAGCGAACCTCCATGCTGGTTATTGCACCACATTTGTACAGCTGAGTAACAAGGTTCAGAGCTAACTTGTTCTGCGCCAACTTCTTGTTTTTAGCAGTTTCCTTAGCGTGGAGCGTGCGTCTGAAGCGAGGTATGTAGACCTTCATACTGGCTGTGAAGGACATGCAGTGAGCTGCTCCACTGGATTGTATCTGTGCAAAGAGAGATATTATTACTGGATCTTAAGAAAGTTCTTACATTTAGATAATAACGAACTATTATTATTTTGAGATAAGACACGTGACATTGTTATAAATTCTGAGAAAACAGTAATGAAATGTTAGAATATATAGCCGTGTAGTAATCAGAGTGAGTGTGTAGTAGCCCAAATCCCGTGAGGCTGTAGTAGTCTGTACATACTACATAAATCACAAGATGTACACGGCTACAAAAATCACGAGAATCTGGTGTCATAGGCTACGGCCGCCAAGTAGCTAATTTCTTGGAAAAGGACATTCAAACTTGGAGTGTGAGCGGGACACCTGATTCCAATTATCGTGTCTTTTTTCTTTCAGTAAGTTAAAACATACACTCCGCAATTCTTACATCGATGTCGGTTGGCTGGCGGTTTTTCTGCAGAAAGAGGTTCAAACCAGAACGAGCATTCTCCATGGTGTACCCTCCGTTCTCTGCTCCACTCATCTGTTAATTAATGTAGTTAGTACCCCTAGATCAGATAGATCTGACCGCTAGTAACTGGCTACCAACATAACATATTGATTTAGAGATTTAACAACTAAGAAGCAGTGTGGGTGGATCACCTGCTCAACCGGCCGCTTCATGCCGACACTCTGCTGCTGTTGCTGCTGTGGAGGAAGTCTCTGTTGAAACCTCTGTTGAGGAGGTTGACCAGATGAGGGCCGAGGTGGTGGTGGTCCAGGTGGTGGTGGTCCAGGTGGTGGCCCAGGTGGAACTCTCCCACCTGGTACTCTAGAAGGGTGTGGTTGAAATGTTTGTTGTTGGGTGTTGTTGTAACCCTCCCCTACTTGTTCTTCTTTGCAGTGCTCCTCTTCTTTGTAGTCCTCCTCTTCAAGGTATGTTGGAGGAGCGTCATGAGAGGGTGTGTCGAGTACTGCTGTTCCATCATCATCCATCTCACCACATACCTGACATTAGTTCCAATTAGTTAATCTAATTATTGTACCGCACTTGGGCGTGTTACAAAATTGTAATTATATATACCTTAAAATAAAGGACTCATCTTGAAAAGTGAAACAACAATACCGCCCAAACCTGAAGATATTGTACAAGTTCATCGGACGCCTTCTCTTGAGCGATGTCTCTAGTTGGACCTCCACCTTGCGCGGAGTAGTCTGCATGTCCGGGTAGTGTTATCTGGAGGGAAGGTGTGTGAGGATGAGGGGGGGGCTCATGTCCGTTAATGTCCGTTAATGTCCGTTAATGTCCGTTAATGTCCGTTAATGTCCGTTAATGTCAGTTAATGTCAGTTAATGTCAGTTAATGTCCTTTAATGTCAGTTAATGTCCTTTAATGTCCGTTAATGTCAGTTAATGTCCGTTAATGTCCGTTAATGTCAGTTAATGTCCTTTAATGTCAGTTAATGTCCGTTAATGTCCGTTAATGTCAGTTAATGTCCTTTAATGTCAGTTAATGTCCGTTAATGTCAGTTAATGTCCGTTAATGTCAGTTAATGTCCGTCCGTTAATGTCGGACGTTAATGTCGGACGTTAATGTCAATGTCAGTTTTGCCCCTTCCCCATTAACTGACGTAGAAGTACCCCCTGAGGATGGGTTTGTCAAGTGATGGCACGTGTTTAAACTACAACAAATAACCTTTCACTTTAAATTCGCTATTCTGAACTTAATCGTTAACGGTAATCTCCAAAAGTACAAGTTCAATTATCTTCTTAGTAATACGAGAACTTTGTATAATTGCATCTATAAATAATATAATTTATAAATAATATCTATAAAACTATGCTTGCAATTTTAACGGAATTAACATTTCATTAGAAAGAAGAAAATAGTTAATCAGTACATAATATCAGGGAGGAATTGATGCTATCCTATTGTACTACGCCTGAAACAATATTAACATTTTCAGTCATGATAAGTTAAATACTTAATGAGGCACGTTTGTCTCACCATCATCCACCAATCATTGCCCATTGGCCATTTAAACAATACAAATTCACGCTTAAAGCTTTTTAGAGTGATTTGACCATTTATGGATGAATAGGCTACAGTAAATAAATGAATGTCATGCTCTAACTGTGTAATGAATAATATTTAATGAGGCTCTGGTTGATAAATTATACATGTGGTAGGTAACCTGGTAACCTGGTAACCTGGTAACCTGGTAACCTGATAACTCTTGTACACTGTGTCACAGCCAGGAATCAAGATTGGTATAAAGGATTAATTATTCATATCTGTCGTAACGTTTTAGTTATTGAAACACATGCAGTTCTTCAAAATTTCTTTATTTTAAACTTTTAAAGAGTAACATAAAACCTCCCAGAGCTGCAAAATACCAAAAACACAAACCGTGCATTTGAAGAATTTTCCTCTGACATCAGAAGACCGGATGTTAGCCTTGATATTCTTTGCAGTACAGAACGCGTCGACAAGGTCCTTGTGAATCGGCATGTTCCTCCCGCCTACTGCAGTTTAAAGAGTAACGGTCACTTCAAGAGGGAATATTGGCTATTAAAATTATTTCCTAACTTTTACAATAGATAAAGTAGGAGGTGCCCTTCAATAGATAAAGTAGGAGGTGCCCTTCAATTCCAATTTCCAATTATATTTGTAATTTGACGTATGCATCTTTTCAATGACTACAGATATTCATTATAAAATTTTATTATAATTATATTATTATATCGTGTGGAATGTACATAAGGTCATGTGGAAATGTTTTGTCCTATAAGGTAAAATAACAAGATAATTGGTAACTCAGTTTCCAAGATATTTGGTAACTCAGATTAAGAGTTCTTTCTTTCACATTCCCCTACATAACAGTTGTGTAGCTTCATGACACAGGACGGCAATCCATTACTGGTTAAACCAGTTGTGTTTTTAAACTTGATGTACCTCTTAGACTGATAATATTGTGAAAACACCAGAAAGACACAGACATACCTTTTTCGGGGGGTGAAGCTGATGTCTGACATTTCAGATACTTTTAGTAACATCCTGCTGAACAGTTGAAGAAGTGTGTTATGATCGGAATTATCAAAATATTACAATCGAACCAGAATTTACCGTGTTACGTTCACGGAAAACCGAGGTTCGATCATGCATTCAATAGATTGTTTGGATCTTAACACAATTCTTCAAAAATCACTGTTTTAGTTTATCAAACTGAAAATCTGCTCCACTTTGCAGAAATCAGCTTGTTTTATAATGCAATATATTGTCAATAATGTTAATCACTTTAGAGTTTAACATTTTTGACATATAAATTATCGATCTGAAATGTCAGACACAGTGTTTGTCACCCTTCTCTATTACCCTTATTACTATTTTCTACAGAAACCCTCAAGATCTTTATTAATAGAGCAAGATTTTGTCAATTCGAATTTTGATAGACTTTGAATAATTCAATGTCTAGGAAACTGAGTTACAATTTTAGGTACATATTACTCATGAAAGGAATTATCAAAATTGAATATTCAATAAAACACATTCCGGTCAGAATTTCTATGTAAGCGAATAATTGAATATTTTCATAATTAAGGTTTGAAACAATTTCTAAGAAAATAAAAATCAATTCAATTTAACACGGTTTACACACAAATTTATAAAAAATCCCAACTGCGCTCTGAAATGATTCGTTTTGAAAACGGCCGATCTTTCCTTTCAAGAACAAAAACTCGTGTCAGCAACAAGTACGAATAGATAACTAGAGAACTAGATAACGACTCGATCTACTTTTAGCCTTCTTCACACCGAAAGTCCGCACATAAATGTACATACTCTCAGGAGGCACCTGTTGCTGGCTGCACTATGAAAACATGGTATGTGCCAAAACACGGTTTCAGACCAGTAATCGTTAACATTTACAGCAGATTAGGGAATTATACCATGCTGCATGCACGACATTCGTTCAATCGATTTAAAATTCAAATGTACAGAGAACTTTTACTTTAGCACAAAGCCAGAAAAACATAAATAACGGTATATCGCGAGGGGGGGGGGGGGGGGGGGGATGCAACGTCAATTAATGTCAATTAATGTCAATTAATGTCAATTAATGTCAATTAATGTCAATGTCAGTTTTGCAAAATTCAGGAATACTGACATTAATTGACACGATATTTTTCGACCAGAGATTATGTAGTTCTACCATATTTTTAGCACTTTAGAACGTTTATATCATCAATTTATTCACTACTATCACATATGGAAATGTGAAATGTGAAAAATTCAGATCATTAAACAACAAAACTAAAATAATACGGTTTTCCGAAATTTAATTTTCTTAAATGGGCGTGGCCATCCAAGGGCGTGGTTCTCAACATCATCAGAACTTAAAACCCACATTAAACGAAATACCTTCATGACATTTATATTTGAATAACGAATCTTAAACAGCTAAAATTTCTCCTTCATACTAAAAAAGCCGATTCTAGATAATTTACCTGTATAAGAAACCAATAAAATATGGGCGTGGCCGGTGGGGACCGAAGATGGAAGAGTTCAAAGCTGAAATTTTTTTTGGTGGTCTTTGAACCTAAGGATCAACAGATAAGAACATACTCATAATTATTCAAGGACATTTTGTTTTTTTGAACCGGTCTAACTTACATAGACGTGAATATCTTGAATATTTATCGAATAATGATAATCTCAAATTTCAAGACAAATTAATGTCAATTAATGTCAATTAATGTCAATTAATGTCAATTAATGTCAATTAATGTCAATGTCAGTTTGGGGTTTTTATGGAATACTGACATTAATTGACGTTGCATCCCCCCATCGCGAGCCAACATTCTCGCGCAAACAATGAGTTTCAGAGTTATAGCTTCAGAGAATGAAAGCAAGTAAGATTATGGTGAAGTGCAATGTGAAACCTATCCTAACCTAGCATCATGATTCATGAATCCATAAAAATACAATTATTATAGCAAAACTATCAGGTCGACCTAAAAGCAAATAGATACTCCCTAGCAATCTGCTATTTACAGATAAATTACATAGAAAATGTATCATAACGGCTAAGTTGCGGAAGTAACGCATTCAAGGATACAAATATGATAAAATGTGAATCGTTACCATTTAAATTGCGTCTGTTAAAATAAGGAACAAATAATAGTCAGCCAAAGTTGCAACCTGGTCCCTTATTCATCAGGGAGGGTGGAATTTGTTTTTGAGGCATTTTCATTTGGTTAAAAAATAATGCTACTGAGCCCCAAAGATTACGTAGTGTATAAATAATAGGATTATCATTATCATAGATTTTGTGAAATGCGTAACGAATTCACAAATCACTGCATCAAAAACAAAAACTGGATACGACCAGCCTTAGTTATAGTCGAAACAGTTAAATCAACCAAAGTCTAAACAAATAGGCTGAAAGCGGGACTTGACAAATTTCAATTCCAGCAAAAAATTCTAAATCAAAATCTAACATCACGAGACAGCCTTAACCAGGAGTCTCAACACGAGTCTACTACCCAAGCTTATCTCACAGTTAGAGGACAGAGTCCGTTGTAGATCTAGGGTCTTATCTCTGGGGTTAAGTTCTGCTGGAGGTTTAGAGTGTTCTGATAGCAGGGCCCGGAACATGGCGGACAGAATGATAAGGTAGATGTCGGTAGTGTAGGTAGGGGTGGGAGGTGAGGGGTCTGTGTAACGCAAGTGCAACTGTAATGGAAAATTAATTCAGTATATATAGTTAATGATCTTGTTATGTAAGTGTGGACTACTTAAAATAATGTAATTCGATATTCTTTCATTCGCCTAACTGTCGAAGCCACTCAAAATACCCAGGCATATGTTTTAATTTTATATTATGTTTTATAACTTAAATAAAAAAGGCGGATTAATTCGATCACAGACATTTAAAAAAACGGTAACTAATAAAAGGCTTACGAAGAAATTGTAGAATTTCTCCCAGGAAGGCGGTCTGTCTGCTAGAACCTTGTAATGTTCTGGGACTTTCGATTGACTGAGTGTCAGTAACACCTGAGATAAGATTGTTATCTAAAACTCAAAAGCAGAAGAAATGAAGCACAAATTGTTGTGGGTGTGAAATTTTAAACTTAAAGTATCACTACGTAAGACCCGTACATTTTAGTGCTATTGTAATATTGAAATATTCCTCCACTGAAAAGGTACTGAGCTGAGTCCCTGGCCATGATATTCTGATAATGACAGGAGATATTTAAACAGAATCCACCTGAGCATCAATCGGACTCTAGTTCATTGAACTACTTGCATCATAAACATAATTTATTTCTGGAAATCTTTACAATATCTTGTAGAAATCCGGTCAACAGTGCTGCAGTAACAGACTTTTATTGTTTTCATGCCATTACATTTTGTCTCGTTCATTACCAAGACTTGTAATACTATATACATATATATAATATATATATATATTATATAATATATATACGTGTAATTATTGCAGGGATGTTCTTCTCAGTAATATAGCAGCCCTGCCGCTCTCTTACTTATTAGTGAGTTTTATGTTGCGTGATCTCAAGATCATTGCTGATCTGAAGGTTTGGGGGGGGGGGGGGGGGGGGGGGTCCTTGGTCGGGGGGGGGGGGGGGGGGGGGGGGGTCCTACAATTATAAAGGTGCAGGTTTTCGGGCTCCCTTTTTGGAGCCATCGCCTTTCACCCTTTCACAAATCATGGTGCCCAGACTCTTCCCCATGCAATTGCTAATTAATATTAATTTCAATTTTAATTGTGCCGTCCCCATCACCTGCTCCCAGACTCCATCGTGCCTACTCCTCTATAATTGATATTCATATTAATCGTATACCCAGGATGCTTCATTAATCGCCAGATTCGGGCCTAGTGTGATGCTAATAGGTGGTGTACAGCATCTCATTTTTATTGAAACGAGCTAAACAGAGAGCGTTAGTTTTTAGTATTAAGCCTATTCCCCATGTAGTTTGTTGCAGATCTCAAATTTCATTGAGTCAAATGTGCTGCATCAAATTCAAAGTACCACCTTGTAGAGAGGTGGTAGCGTTAAGTACTGTACTGTCTTTCGTTTAATTTATGTGTTTTTAATATCGTTATGTGTTGTCAGGATCTCTATAACCTTTCATTCTCTTAATGACGTGCAGTAACTCTTAAGCAGCGTGTCTGATAATTTCGTTTGATTGAGTCAGATAAAAACTTCTATATCATTCGGTCTATCATATTATAGTCAAGCATCCAATATTTCATGCCGGTTAGTTTTGTTTACAACCCGCCAATCATCGAATTGACATCCTTGTTCGTTAGAGAGCACTTTTTAGACAAGTTGCACTATGTTCTGAGTCAAATAACACGAGGAAATATGGACAGAACTGAATAAGAACAAAAACCACATTCTAAGATTGGGAAATCAGGAAGACTCTGCAACCCAGGAATCAACTACAAACCTATGATATTATTGTTTCAGGGGGAGTTTCAGGGATAATAATTGATAAAGGATTGACAGACCCTATAATTGGTGAAATTATACTCATAGTACGTTACCTTCAAGCCTTCTGGGTTACTCTTAGTCCTAGTGGAAAAAATGGTTATCTCTTCTAAATACCTTGCATCGCATAATAATGATAACTTTTTACAGCTTTGAGTCCAACATTCACTTACATAATTGCCCTCTTACAAGAAAATTACCTAGTTGCGATGCCATACACCTTGATAAGTTCCTGTTTACACAAGCAAAGATTCTTAGCCTCCCCTTTAATCACATAATCCTTCATAAAACAATGGTTAAACAATAGTCGCTCGCGCTACAAGGAAATAGAATAAAATATAACAGAAGTTCGTTTGCTTTTAGTTTATCAGAGAGAAATCCAAATACCACTTGTAGGTCAAAATTTCTTCAAGCACCCTTCGAGGACGGTTTTAGCTGTCATTAAATGTTTTTTATTATACATAATTAAATATAATTAATGAAAGGCCCGTGGTCACAGGGAGGAAGATAATAGTACTTTTTTGAATTTTGATGGTCAATTTTGATGATCGCATTAAAAATATCCGTCACAACAGAAAATACAGCCGATTAAAATGTAACACATAACACACAACGTAATATGACAACAAAACCGATCAAAATGATGTTCCAACAAGCTTTGCACGTGCGTGTTTCCAACCGCGTTACTATGCAATTCCCTATTTCCCATCTAAGTTGCACGTGGGTGGTCAGACAAACAGACAAAAAGTATCATTTGAAATATGATAGAGATTATTTTATAAATAAAATGTGCAGCTAAGTCCTTTAAGGTTTTTAAAAAGAATCCCATCATTAAATATTATTAAATATTAATAGTATTTTATTTTAGCTAGATAGTATAAATTCCATTCAGTGATCCCAAAGATATGGCTGTACGAGTAATCCTACGGACATTGCTTATATTCCTACTGCTCGCAATTGCAGCCTCTGATGACTACACAACAGTAACTAGCAGTAGAAGCATTGCAGAAGACGATGCTACTACCACAGCGGAATGCCCTAACGGAAACTATCTGACTAAATGTAGGATAGCATCAGGCGGATTAGGATCAGTAACAGATGGCACGACAGTACCAAAAGATTTGAGTCACAGCTGTGTTGCTCAGAATGAAAATACAGACCAAGATGGAATAGGCGATGGAGTAATTGTAAGTTAATTTTTAGAACATTTTAATATTTCAATATTTATTTGCCAATTCAATACCCTATGTAAACATAAGTGCATGTAAACTGGGGCAGTGAATCTTATCCTCAATCCAATCAGAAAGTAATTAAAATATCAAACCTGACCAACACCCGACCTTTATGGTAATTAGGATAATTAATTAATTAGGATAATTAATTAATGTTCATCAGGGTAATTATACAAAATTAATGCACGTGGTTTAGTTAATCAAGGACTTGAAACAGTGTTTTTCAGGCTGAAGCTACCTGCAGAAAAATCAGATCTGGGATAGATGTGGTTTTCAAGAAGCAATCAAAAGAAAAAGGAGCAATTGTAAAACTGAACTGTCCAGATGGACTGCCTAATCTTGGTACTCTGGGGAAAAGGGTACGTTTTTCTATGAAACAGTAAACCCGGCATTTAAACCACATTTATCAAACTATAAAATTGAATAAAGTTGACAATTCATAATTTTTAAATTCATACAGGGTGGGCCAAAAGTCAGTACCCATACGTTGGCCTTTATAGCTCATTCACTGAGTGCCCAATTTAAATACTTCTTTCTGGTATGACTAAGTACCACCACTGGTTCGAGGAATTTGTCAACTCGAAAAATATTTGCGTTCATTTTTTTCAAATGGAGGTTCATTTTCACATTTATTTGATAGTTGGATAGTCGGATCAAGCTAAATGTTATTGAATTGTGTTTGGCCATTCGAATTACGTTTGTCCTGAAAGAATTAGAACTGTAGCTTCTCAGATGACCGAGATATGAAGTATATATAACGAGTTTATTCATTACGTGTGATCAGGTGATTGGTTTACCTAATCACGTGATAAGGTGCCCCCGTTAAACATTATGGGAATTGTTAAGGGTGCCCAATTAAAGTGTCGTGTCACGGTGTCACATAATCACCCATTCAATTTTGTTAACGAGAGACAGAAAATGCTTGATTACTTCGTTATTTCTAATCCGTTTTGCCTCATGTTTTCAGATCATATGCAACATTTGATAATCTACCGTCTCTGAAAAAATTAGGTGTTCAGCATGTTCAGAGAAAACAATATAGGTGTTTTAATATTGAATGGGCGTGGTCTAAAATATCCGAATTTTCAAATTTTGACGACGGAATCCTCGAACCAGTAAGTAGAGTATGCCATCTGCAAAGCAACAGCTCTCAAATATAAAACACGGCGGAGCTATTAAGGCCAACGTATGGGTACTGACTTTTGGCCCACCCTGTATTATTTACAGACAACTTTTAACGTGGGCAGATGAGACTGGTCAATACTGTACTTCCAACGAATGCATTGAGAAAAGGTGTGACTACACAGCCATTTGTGGAAACTTCTTTAAACCAGGTTTGTAAATTATGCTCCATCTGAGTTGTGAACACACCCTTTAGCATGTCTACCCTGTATATAGTAACTACTGTAGTTCCCCTGGCTTAAACCCAAACCCCTAAACTTAACAACTCCCTAACAGCAATAGTAAGCCAAATTCGTAACTTAACGAAGATATCAGGGGGGGGGGGGGGGGGCCAACGCCCCAAATTCGTAACTTAACGAAGATATCAGGGGGGGGGCCCTCCAAATTCGTAACTTAACGAAGATATCAGGGGGGGGGGGCCCTCCAAATTCGTAACTTAACGAAGATATCAGGGGGGGGGGCCAACGCCCCTCCAAATTCGTAACTTAACGAAGATATCAGGGGGGGGGGGGGGCCAACGCCCCTCCAAATTCGTAACTTAACGAAGATATCAGGGGGGGGGGGGGCCAACGCCCCTCCAAATTCGTAACTTAACGAAGATATCAGGGGGGGGGCCCTCCAAATTCGTAACTTAACGAAGATATCAGGGGGGGGGGGCCCCTCCAAATTCGTAACTTAACGAAGATATCAGGGGGGGGGGGCCCCTCCAAATTCGTAACTTAACGAAGATATCAGGGGGGGGGGCCCTCCAAATTCGTAACTTAACGAAGATATCAGGGGGGGGGGGCCCTCCAAATTCGTAACTTAACGAAGATATCAGGGGGGGGGGGGGGCCAACGCCCCTCCAAATTCGTAACTTAACGAAGATATCAGGGGGGGGGGGCCAACGCCCCAAAAGGCCACGATTTCTAGGGCCCTTTTTGGATTTTCGATATGTGTGGGGCCTTTTGGGGCCCTAGAATTAACTTCAATTTCATCAAGTTTGATATATGCTAAGTGCTTTAATGATATTATCTGACTACTTGCACAGTACTTTTATGTTTATTTGAGTGTATTACATGGAGATTATGGTCCATAAACACTATCAAATAGTGGTCAGGGTCAAAAAGCCCCGATTTCTAGGGCCCTTTTCGGATTTTCGATATGTGTGGGGCCTTTTGGGGCGTTGGCCCCCCCCCCCCCCCCCCATATCATCAAAAATCAAGAATATTCTTATTTGTTGGACGCTAAACGGTCGCAACACGGACCTAAGTAATAAAATGGATCCAGAATCCCAAGATATCATTTACTTTAAATTTATTTATAATAGGTCTGGAATTAGTGTTATATTGTAAGAGCGATTCGCCTGAGAGAGAAAGCAAATTACAAAAAAGCAATCAAGCTAGGTTTATTACTTATGGAGCTGCTGAAGAGAATATTTAACCGTTTAGTACATTGCGTTCAAAATTGAAATCAAATCGACTACCAAAAGTTGAAGGTTCTAACTCGTTCAGGAGCTGAGCGGTGATCATGTGACAACAGCTGCTGCCCCTGTTGTCCTGACAACAGCTGCTGCCCCTGTTGCCCGGCGTCTCATCTACCATAGAGTCCTGACAACAGCTGCTGCCCCTGTTGCCCGGCGTCTCATCTACCCTGAGTCCTGACAACAGCTGCTGCCCCTGTTGCCCGGCGTCTCATCTACCCTGAGTCCTGACAACAGCTGCTGCCCCTGTTGCCCGGCGTCTCATCTACCCTGAGTCCTGACAACAGCTGCTGCCCCTGTTGCCCGGCGTCTCATCTACCCTGAGTCCTGACAACAGCTGCTGCCCCTGTTGCCCGGCGTCTCATCTACCCTGAGTCCTGACAACAGCTGCTGCCCCTGTTGCCCGGCGTCTCGTCTACCCTGAGTCCTGACAACAGCTGCTGCCCCTGTTGCCCGGCGTCTCGTCTACCCTGAGTCCTGACAACAGCTGCTGCCCCTGTTGCCCGGCGTCTCATCTACCCTGAGTCCTGACAACAGCTGCTGCCCCTGTTGCCCGGCGTCTCGTCTACCCTGAGTCCTGACAACAGCTGCTGCCCCTGTTGCCCGGCGTCTCATCTACCCTGAGTCCTGACAACAGCTGCTGCCCCTGTTGCCCGGCGTCTCGTCTACCCTGAGTCCTGACAACAGCTGCTGCCCCTGTTGCCCGGCGTCTCATCTACCCTGAGTCCTGACAACAGCTGCTGCCCCTGTTGCCCGGCGTCTCATCTACCCTGAGTCCTGACAACAGCTGCTGCCCCTGTTGCCCGGCGTCTCGTCTACCCTGAGTCCTGACAACAGCTGCTGCCCCTGTTGCCCGGCGTCTCGTCTACCCTGAGTCCTGACAACAGCTGCTGCCCCTGTTGCCCGGCGTCTCGTCTACCCTGAGTCCTGACAACAGCTGCTGCCCCTGCTGCCCGGCGTCTCATCTACCATAGAGTCCTGACAACAGCTGCTGCCCCTGCTGCCCGGCGTCTCATCTACCCTGAGTCCTGACAACAGCTGCTGCCCCTGCTGCCCGGCGTCTCATCTACCATAGAGTCCTGACAACAGCTGCTGCCCCTGTTGCCCGGCGTCTCGTCTACCCTGAGTCCTGACAACAGCTGCTGCCCCTGTTGCCCGGCGTCTCGTCTACCCTGAGTCCTGACAACAGCTGCTGCCCCTGTTGCCCGGCGTCTCGTCTACCCTGAGTCCTGACAACAGCTGCTGCCCCTGTTGCCCGGCGTCTCGTCTACCCTGAGTCCTGACAACAGCTGCTGCCCCTGTTGCCCGGCGTCTCATCTACCCTGAGTCCTGACAACAGCTGCTGCCCCTGTTGCCCGGCGTCTCGTCTACCCTGAGTCCTGACAACAGCTGCTGCCCCTGTTGCCCGGCGTCTCGTCTACCCTGAGTCCTGACAACAGCTGCTGCCCCTGCTGCCCGGCGTCTCATCTACCATAGAGTCCTGACAACAGCTGCTGCCCCTGTTGCCCGGCGTCTCGTCTACCCTGAGTCCTGACAACAGCTGCTGCCCCTGTTGCCCGGCGTCTCGTCTACCCTGAGTCCTGACAACAGCTGCTGCCCCTGTTGCCCGGCGTCTCGTCTACCCTGAGTCCTGACAACAGCTGCTGCCCCTGCTGCCCGGCGTCTCGTCTACCCTGAGTCCTGACAACAGCTGCTGCCCCTGTTGCCCGGCGTCTCGTCTACCCTGAGTCCTGACAACAGCTGCTGCCCCTGCTGCCCGGCGTCTCGTCTACCATAGAGTCCTGACAACAGCTGCTGCCCCTGTTGCCCGGCGTCTCGTCTACCCTGAGTCCTGACAACAGCTGCTGCCCCTGCTGCCCGGCGTCTCATCTACCCTGAGTCCTGACAACAGCTGCTGCCCCTGTTGCCCGGCGTCTCATCTACCCTGAGTCCTGACAACAGCTGCTGCCCCTGTTGCCCGGCGTCTCGTCTACCCTGAGTCCTGACAACAGCTGCTGCCCCTGTTGCCCGGCGTCTCGTCTACCCTGAGTCCTGACAACAGCTGCTGCCCCTGCTGCCCGGCGTCTCATCTACCATAGAGTCCTGACAACAGCTGCTGCCCCTGCTGCCCGGCGTCTCATCTACCATAGAGTCCTGACAACAGCTGCTGCCCCTGTTGCCCGGCGTCTCATCTACCATAGAGTCCTGACAACAGCTGCTGCCCCTGTTGCCCGGCGTCTCATCTACCATAGAGTCCTGACAACAGCTGCTGCCCCTGTTGCCCGGCGTCTCGTCTACCCTGAGTCCTGACAACAGCTGCTGCCCCTGCTGCCCGGCGTCTCATCTACCATAGAGTCCTGACAACAGCTGCTGCCCCTGTTGCCCTGACAACAGCTGCTGCCCCTGTTGCCCGGCGTCTCCTGACAACAGCTGCTGCCCCTGCTGCCCCTGTTGCCCGGCGTCTCATCTACCCTGAGTCCTGACAACAGCTGCTGCCCCTGTTGCCCGGCGTCTCATCTACCATAGAGTCCTGACAACAGCTGCTGCCCCTGTTGCCCGGCGTCTCCTGACAACAGCTGCTGCCCCTGCTGCCCCTGTTGCCCGGCGTCTCATCTACCCTGTTGCCCTGACAACAGCTGCTGCCCCTGTTGCCCGGCGTCTCATCTACCATAGATGTGACGTTGCTAACAGGGGTAAATTGAAGCTTTGTGTGCTTTTTATTACAGCCCTGCAGTAGATTCAATGCTGTATGGGCTATCAAGGATGTCCTAGGGTATCTCTCTTAGCTGTATCGCACAATCGCACGCGTACCCTCGGGTTTAAACAGTGTGCTCTGGGCTCGCAATTCTGTGTGGTATGGTGATGGAGGATGCCTAGGGCTAACGAAACCCCTACGCGATATAAATTCCTGCATTTCCATTGAAGAATGTGAGGTTTAGTGTCTTGTGGAGGATAACAACTATAAATCAAGAGGCTTGCATATAATGAACATATTGACACGGGTGCAGAGTTGAGTCTGTACGGAACCTAGTAGTTCAGTATGTCAGTCCCTGTTTCGGAGTGAGCTCTGCTCCCCGTCTCACACAAGCGCTGGTGCAACCAACCCTTGACATGATCACTTTCCTGCAATGGATACCGGGACCTGTATGCTGTGACTCTTACCTAGTTAGTCCCCGACTACTAGCGCAGTCCAGACAGGGCAACTGCAGTAATGTAGTTGCATTTATCATACAACAACAACAACAACAGCTGCAGAAGCTGTTAGTACAATTTCGTAAATTCGCTTTAGACTCAGTTCTTTAAAGTAAATATATTGTCTCCTCTTCTATGTGCGATAATACCAGCCCTTTAAAATGATTATACAAAAATCAGTTTAAAAAAAAATCAAACATACCGAATCTAACAAACAAAAGTATCAATAATTAGGCAAACCTTATTGAAGACCATGGTCATGAGAGTGTAGGAGAAGCTGAGCATGTGAATCAGCACGTGCACGCGCCTCACATCCCGGCTCTTGAGTGTGGTTGTCATGACATTGCGCACCGTGTCCGCGATGACGTCCAGCGTGGTTCCTGCCTGATACTGTTCCTCTTGCTTTGCTACCCTCTTTATCTCGTTACAGGTAAAGTAAACGATCAGCTGGGAGTTCATCGCCATCTTCAGTTTGTTCTGAATTAAAATTGTATGTTAACGACGTAATTATTGGAAACAGTACTCCCCCTCTGATAACACGCTTCTGCACATTGTGGTACTTACTACCCCGGTATTTTATATCATCCCCCATAAACCGCAATATGGAGAGGGACTATACCATATTATAAGGGTTGTGTGTTAAACACTGCTGAGTATAAGTTTTATCTTAATAGCGGTGTTATTAAATTTTAATTTATTATTATTATACTGCTCTACACATACAGGAGCCTTGTTACCTGTTGTCATTGTACTGTGTGTGACTGTAAAATATATAAGCCTTGTTTATAGCAGAAAATGTCCTATCCCATTGCCGATACTATTAATCAGTGACTTTGTTTTGGGGATTATATATCTCACGTGCTACTGTAAACATTATTCAACAGATATGTCTCCGGCAATGTTTGATGTATGTTATTTCTTTAAGGCCCACAACAATGTATTGCAGAATGTATTGGGAGAAAATCACGTACGAATGTAAGCAAAATATTCTGATAAATTTACTCCCATTGTTTCGGGGGAAAGATTTGTATTGATCCCTTTTATTGCGACAGCGGAAAGGCGCTTATCAGGAGAGGAAGGAATACTTCCATCAACACAAACTTTTTGGAGGTGCCAAAATATAGAATTGCTCCGATTTACAATCAATCATAATAGTAGTACAGTTGACGGTTACATGCACTAAAACAAATACTCACATCTGCACTTTCAGAGATCATGACGATAGTGTAAGCTTTGAGAAAGACCTTAAACACCGGCTTAACATGGTGCCACGAGTTCATAATCCTCTCAACCAAAGGCTTTGAGAAGTTTGTCCGCCTCTCCCAGTTGTAGAAATCCTTTTCAAGCAGCTCCAACCAGAATATCAGGTATCGTGGTGATTGGGGGTGTTTCCTTTCTTTGTCACATTTCACTGCGTCACTGAAAGTGACAGTTTAAGTGTAACTTCAGATTACGAACTTTTCAAATGCATCGCAAATGTTTTGTTATCCTCGGCAGTGAAATCTATTCTTCAATCACTAATGTAATCAATAATCAATAACCAACACACACGTATTATAAAAAAACTTACTCGAAAAGTGCTAGGAATTTGTCAGCGTTGTGTTTGGGTCTATCTTTTAACTGCATGAGGTTAGCGTAGTAGTCTCGGTTATCATGCATTGGTTGTATGAACCAGGATAGAATGTAGAGGTCCGACATGACCTGACGTACTGCTCCGACTGGAGGGCAACGTGTTTAACAAACTGAATTATAACTCACCCTTATAAAGTTATAACAGCAGCAAAACTCTTCAGGTCTTTTAGTAGAAAATATTGTAATTAATACAGTTACTTGAATGTATACTGATAACTACAGCACAAGTTTTAACCCCAACAAGGAAACACCACTAACACTCGGAGGAGGGTCGGGGAAGTAGAGACTTGTTGATGACTTGTCTGAGCATGCCAGCTGGTGGTCTCTGGTTGCTGGTCAGGGGTAACAGTATTCCACCCCACGATTCGGAACACATCACACCGTCTATGTAGTCCAACAGTTTTCTATCACACTGCTTCTGTTTTTTAACAGTGTTAAGGTGGAATGTCACAATAAAATCTTGAGCTGGGGAGGCTGGAACCCGCCTTTTTGCAAATTGTGAACATGAAGTTAATGATAATATCAATATGGTAAACCCAGTAAAAGGGGCAGTGACCGAGAGTGCCCTTTTTCCCACGGTTTGTCGAATAATGTCGTATATTGTCATTCCCTGTCAAAAATTGTCATTCCCTTTCAAATCTTGTCGTATATTGTCATTCCCTGTCAAATCTTGTCGTATATTGGCACATATTGTCGTAATCTTCTCATGACATTGGGCACTCTCGGTCACTGCCCTAAAAGAGATGTGGCAGATCTTACCTTAGAAGTAAGATTAATCTGTTTTCTGACGTTGCTGAAAGTACAGACCCAGGGGATAGTGGGCAACTCGTTCTGGGCGTCTTCTCTTTTTACCTTGTACAGGTCTCTGTCTGGTTTCTCGTCCTAACAGGATGGAGTTTAAGAGAACAATTTCAATAAAGAAAATCTAGATTATACTGGAAAACTCTCCACATTGTGATATGAGACCAATTTATTATTTAGGGCTTTTAACACTGACCTCAAGCACAACGTTATGAATATAGTTGATTCTCAGAAGAGGAACTGTGGGACTTTTTAGTGGGATGTGGGTTTGGTCAGGGTTGTCAACAAGAATGAAGGTGAGCTCGTCTTTTCTTTTCCGGTAGTCCTGGATGTTTATCACTCGACCCCCACCAGCTTTGAATAGCCTGATAAAAGTAACAAGTTATTGTCTACTTGTCTGGCAATGAGATTTATACTATTCCCCACCTTACACAATATATTTATATTGATTTAACGAGTAAAATAACCGTGCAACGAGCTACAACAATTCGATGTCAGATGTAAAGTTAATTTTTAGTAGATAGTTGATACTACAGGGTGGGCCAAAAGTCAGTACCCATACGTTGGCCTTAATAGCTCCGCCGTGTTTTATATTTGAGAGCTGTTGCTTTGCAGATGGCATACTGTACTTACTGGTTCGAGGATTCCGTCGTCAAAATTTGAAAATTCGAATATTTTAGACCACGCCCATTCAATATTAAAACACCTATATTGTTTTCTCTGAACATGCTGAACGCCTAATTTTTTCAGAGACGGTAGATTATTAAATGTTGCATATGATCCGAAAATATGAGGCAAAACGGATTAGAAATGACGAAGTTATCAAGCATTTTCTGTATCTCGTTATCAATTTTGACTGGGTGATTATGTGACACCGTGACACGACACCTTAATTGGGCACCCTTAACAATTCCCATAATGTTTAACGGGGTAGTTAACGGGGGCACCTTATCACGTGATTAGGTAAACCAATCACCTGATCACACGTAATGAATAAACTCGTTATGCTTCATATCTCGGTCATCTGAGAAGCTACAGTTCTAATTCTTTCAGGACAAACGTAATTCGAATGGCCAAACACAATTCAATAATATTTAGCTTGATCCGACTATCCAAACTATCAAATAAATGTGAAAATGAACCTCCATTTGAAAAAAATGAACGCGAATATTTTTCGAGTTGACAAATTCCTCGAACCAGTGGTGGTACTAAGTCATACCAGAAAGAAGTATTTAAATTGGGCACTCAGTGACTGAGCTATAAAGGCCAACGTATGGGTACTGACTTTTGGCCCACCCTGTATTAACAAAATTCCAACATTGATCAGCGATTGTAGATCAAAATATGTATCTTCTTTGACAATGACACATCATGTTTGTTACAATGATTGATGAGATTGAAGAGTCTAAGCGAGAAATTTGGTGGATTTAAGATAATGATTTATACCTTTCATAACATTCAAGTCGTCTGGGATGATTACTGAGAATGCTTGCTGTCCAGCCATGAAACGGACCCTCAGCATTGTATCGCATCCTACATCTCCTGGCAGAACTTGCTAACTTCGCTAACTCCGGGTCTGAGTCGGAGGTCTCCGGGTTCAATCTGAGTACAGGAGACAGAGGTTTAATAAATACAATTAGAAGTTACTAGGTAGAGTTATTAGAACATTAATCGAATCACATCGCAATTTTACATGAAGTTATCAAGCTGGTATGAACGTCCCGAAATTAGGAACATACGGAATTTTATACTTTTATAAACGATCGTAACGAATTTAAACAGACAAACTAAGATACAAGTAGAAATAACAAACCGTTCAATAACATCCTTAGTCCACTCATACTTCTCCTCCTCCAGCCAGTAACCCTCCGCATAACTATCCTCCACATACTCTGTCTTTAACAGCCACTTGCCAGTCATCAGTCCACCCATGTACTTCTCCCCGGTGTTGGGCCTCCCTAACACTATGTGAGTACATCGCTCCACAAAGTTAGGGCACTCTATATACTCCCCTCCCAGCTGCTTTATCATTATCTTTATCCTCTCTTTCGTCTCGTGTTTACAACTGAAGGGTCATTCAATGTTATATTGTACTAGCAGATATTTAACGGTTAAACAATGATTAAATCTGTGAATCTGGAGTGAGAAAAACATTTAAAAACGCTGACAGCTAAAAACAAAATTACACCATGTTCTCACTTATTCAATCCGGTAAGAAGGAACCGCTTGTGCGTAACCACAGTTGACGAGATCTCTTGAACCATGTATCTGGGTGACCCAAGAGTTGATATCCTATTTTCATTAGAAAAGGGGGACAACATGGTGGTGGTTGAAATAACATTACTCTGGGAGTCTGCTTTAGATACCTCAATGTTGGGATTGCTGCCGACACCAGCACTGGATTGTGGGATTGGGGGTGTACATGCTACACGAATATTGTCAAAGATGTTTGCTTGGGAGAGCATCTTCATGGGGGAATTCACCGCTGAGGATGATGAGGGTGCCTCGGAGGATGTTCGCATTCCAAGAGGAGTATGAACAATTGATGGTTTGACATCCTTTTCATCGTCTGATATATCCTCTACTTGAATAAAGGGAATGTGCATTGGCTTGTCTTCATCCTCACTTTCACTGCTGATTGGGATGGTTTCTATAGACGGCTGTTTTGGTGAGCTAAGCTTTTGCCGTTTTCTGGTCGGTGACGACATGACCTGAATTAAATGTTGATTGAGCCCAATAAAATACACACTACATCGTATTCAAACTCGACTGACACAAGAAATGTGTAGCCTAATAAATCTTATCATAAAATAGAATGAATGGTTTACGGTAAAGACTATAACAACTCAAGACATGGTATGAAGATAAAACTTTTAACACAAAACTGTAACGATGAAATGATGTTCAAATTAAACAACTTTTGTTATCGATTAAATTGGGTGAGGCAACTCCTTTCAAAAGAAAGAAACTTTATTTTATGCAATCCACATAAAGCATAGCTCGATAGTGTTTCACTGCATGAGTAACGGGTTGTAACGAAAATACCAATAGTAGCTCTCGAATACTCGGACTCCCTCGGCTCTGTACAAGTTCTCTGACTAGATTGTCATTTACACATGTCTGTACGCTGTAGGCATCAACAATTTTCTTAGCTAAAACCAGGGTATCGAGGAGTGATAAAGTCTTAAAGTAAGTCTGGTATGGTGCATGGCCGGTGGTTTCTAGCAATTTGGACAGTCCTTTTAGCTGTTGAAAACAAAGGTGAAGTTTCTGAACAAGAGTTTTACAAATTTCTATGTCACGCTGTATTTCGTTCATCTCTTCTAGCATAGAAAATTGTCTTGCATTTTCTTCTAATGTCTTGCCAAAAAGTAGTGTTATTCGATTTGAAATGTCGGAAAATGCCTTATCATAGTTTTGAAGAGTTTGAACCATGTTATAGACAATATCTTTTCCTCTGCTATCCGCACCACCATGAGTAAGAAGACTGTGGGCGGACAGCAACATTTGCATACCAGAATTGAAGAAGGTTGTTAATTCTCCACTCTTGATTTGGCGAGTCCTTTACATCCTAAATAGTTTGCAGTTAATACCATGCATAATATTATATAAGTATGCAATTCATGGTTCAGGTTATGGGAATATTTTTAAAAACTGAAATTTGATTTTTGGACATAATTTGATGTATGAATTGACTCGACAGCATGATTGAACACAATATTGATAGCAGTCCATATTTTTTATTATATTATACAATATTTTATTGCAACAATTAAAAAATTAAACCAGGCATTTTCTACAAAACATTTTAACATCATTTTAAAGGCAATCATTTAAAAAATACAGAATGTTTTAGCTTTAATACAATTATCAACTGAAGAATGTAACATAATATAAAGTAACAAACAGCAGTAACAATTATTTACCACCTCTTTATTCTTCCTTATAATACATACATGAAATTATAAACAGACAATAATAAAATTCTGAAAGGGAGAAAACTTATTTAGAAAATATCATCACTTCTCTTGATTCAATAACATCTAGTATAAAGTATTTGCATTGTGATGCAGATGTCAAAAACATTTTGAGAAAATACCTTGATTGATGTTGAGCATTAATTAGAATAGTTTGTCAATAACTCGGACATCTAAATGATCTGTCTTAAAATATTTCACTTCAGAACTTTTGAAAAATTGTAGACTTGTTTTAATCCTCGCTGAATCTGAGAAAATTGTCGATTTGTTCAGAAAAATCCAGACCTGCAGACTGAAACTTCTCGAACAGCTCTCGAGTGGACTGCTGCAGGGTTTCATCACCAGAGTTTTTTTGTAGTTTACATATTGTGTCATTCAAACGAGGATAATGTAATGTCAAATTAATAACATGTGAGAATTTTCCAAATCGTTGATTGCTTTTTTTGGATACACTGTCAAGATGAATGATAAAATCACTGTTCTCAAAGACAGTTCGGTCAACAATGCTCACATTGTACATGCTGTACCTACTATTCATACTCATAACATTCTCTTTCATCACTTCTCCTGATTCCATAACATCTAGCACAAATTCATTTGCATGGGTGTTGGTGCAAATCTTTTGGGATGATACCTTGATTTCTGTTGCGCATTTAGTGCTTTCTATGTCAATAACTCGAAGGTTTAAATGATCTGCTTTACAATGCTTCACTTCAAACTTTTTGGAGATTGGTTCAGTAGTTTCAATCCTTGTTGTAAATCGTAAATTATTCCCCAAATCACTAAAGAAAACATCGGTAAAATGTTGATGACCAAGTTCTTTAAAACCTTCAACTGACAAGCATTTAAGGAATATTTGTTTGAGGTACGGCTTTAAGTCCATTGAGAAATACTCTTTGAAACCACTTTCCCATTTATTTAACAATTCACTTACTGGAATGTTTCGTTTTGACCTGGAGTTTGTTAAATTGTATAAAGTTGCACCAAATTTAGCGTGAACATGAACATTATCAAGGATAGGGAGGTCAACAAATTTGATGAACCTATAAAAATCAGATAACATTTCAGCTTCGTTGAACAATGCATATGAACTTTCGGAATTAAGATCTAGTTTTAAGCATTCAGAGGTTCTGGAGGATTCTAGAAGTTGGATGGATCTGAGAATGTGACCGCCATTAATAATGTCTGTAAATTCTGCAGAAAGGAAGGGAAATTCGTTTTTAGGGGCATCTCCAAAGATAGTATCCATCCTGATCTTATAATCTGAAGCCATAATGTAACATTTGAAACTTTCACGATAAATTCTACGCCGGGCAAATGTTTTATAAAAGCTCATCTTGCCTCTTACTTCAAACAGAAACTGATCAAGTTTTGCTTGAGAAGAACATCCCAGAGTTAATGTTTGCTCCAATTCATTCAGCTCAACGAAGATTACTTCAGGATCATCAAATATCACTTTAAGGTACGAAAGTCCTAATGACTGGGACTTTTTGCAAAGTTTGTGGGAAGCACAAGCATAAGGAATACAGGAGAAGTATCTGGTGTTTTCTTCTTTTTCTTTACATAATGTATGAACCGTCAATGAATCAAGATATGAGTTAAAGTATGACTGAGCTTGAGCAACACAGGAATCAAGTTCATTCTTTGATCTGGCCCCAATGACTAACTCCATTATGATGGCGTCCTCATCACAATCTACCTCCACAAAATCTATTCCTGAAAAACATCGAAGTCTATTCAATTTCAGATAGTAAGTGTCCCAAAATTGCAGGAAATTTGATGTCACCAATACTCTTTGAATGTAATTGCTTTGAAAAAGATGCCTACTTCTATTCCAAATGATCTCACTGTCGAGAACTGACATATTTGTATTCCAGTGTTCTTGAAAATCTAAGATATGACACAATTTATATGTCTCAATATCATCCATTGAGAGGCACATACCTTCTTGGATATGTTTTGGATCAACACCAAACAGTGAACAAAATCTCAAGACTTCAAATATGCAATCTGAGGTAGACTCAAATACGAATTTCTTGCTTTTTTTTGTATCTTCAATACAAAGAGCTTTGATACTTTTTGTGTGTTTCACAATTTTTTTAAGTGTAGCTACTATTTTAGACTTGGCCATCATAGAACAAACTTCGTTTTCTACAGCATCAAGGGCAACATTGGTGTATGCTCTTACTTCAACTTTATGTTGCACCTTATCCACATCGATATTTATAACATCAACCATATTCCTTAGCCTCTTAATATTAGCCCCTTGAAAACCGATGATTTGCCAAACAGTCTCCTTTTGAATTGGGATAACACGAGTCAAGACTTTCCTCTCTTCACTAAATATGTCAGGATTTCCATCTCTTTTCACCCAACTTCCTGTCTCCTGAAGATCTTTTTCAACATTAGGTATGGTGTTCTTGTGATTTCCATATCTTTTTATCCAATTTGCTGCCTCCTGAATTCCTTTTTCTACAGCATCAAGGGCAACATCAGTGTATGCTCTTACTTCAACTTTAAATTGCACCTTATCCAAATTGATCTTTATAACATCAACTATATTTTTCAGCCTCTTAATATTATTCCCTTGAGAACCAATGATTAACCCAATATCCTCCTCTTGAATTGGGATAACACGAGTCACGATTTTTGTTTCTTCACTAAATATGTCGTGATTTCCATCTCTTTTTATCCAACTTGCTGCCTCCTGAAGATCTTTTTCTACAGCATCAAGGGCAACATTAGTGTATGCACTTACTTCAACTTTACATTGCACACTATCCAAATCAATTGTTATAACACCAACCATATTCTTTAGCCTTTTAATGTTAGCACCTTGAGAACCAATGATTAGCCCAATAGCCTCCTTTTTTACTGGGATAACACGAGTCAAGACTTTCCTTTCTTCACTACATATGTCGTGATTTCCATCTTGTCTCCTCCAACTTTCTTCCCTCTGAACTGGGATATTACGAACGGAAGCATTTCTTTCTGCAGTAGATAAATCCTGTTTGACATCTCTCTTTCTCCAACTGAGAGCCATCAGTAAAGCTTGATTGAAAACCTTAAAGGAGCATTTTTGTCTTGACTGCCAGGATAGAGCAACAGTGGTACATACTATTCATTATGTGAAAACGTAATTAGAGTGAGATATACCAAAAAAATATTGGATATAAATAATAAGTTTGTCAAAAAATGTAACCAATGAACTCCTTTAACATTCAAGGTATATAAAAAATTAAATATGTAATATAATAAAATTATTTTACTGCAATTATTGAACCTTAATCAATTAATTCCTTTCTGAATTGACAGCATGACAGAACAGTGCAAGAAGAATCTGATTAATTATCTATTACAAGAATTACATTTTTGACTTTAATTCAATAGTAAAAACAGTACAAAACAACACCAAACATTACAAAGTGTTGAAATTTATGCAATTTACAAAAACAAATGTTACTACACAATTTTATTCTTCCCTATTTACAAAAGTACATAAAACATATAAAACTAAAACTTTATTCAACAAGGAAAATAAATAAAAAACTTATAATAATAATAATAATAAAATTTGGTAGCTTAAACACAAACTCTAAGCCCAGTGGATAAACCACAAAACCTATGCTCTATTGTGTGAAACAAAGATACTAGATCAAGATGACTATCAAGGAGTGTATGCATAGGACATAAAAAGTTTTGGAACGAAGATGACATGCTTATGAAGCGAGCTAACAGTCT